AGATTAACACAGAGGCAATTAATGTAAAAAGACAATCTAACAGATGAGGGTTAGGGTCAGAGAACAGAGATGTGCACTTTACAAATGGGAAAATAACAAGTATAACCCATGATCTTTCACAACAAGATTTTATAAATACAGAACAGCTTTATAAACAAACCTGGAGTCCATAATGGTACTGAACTATTTCTTATTTTTATGCACAAATCAAAGCTCTTTTCTGACCAGTTTAACAAGATTAGAGTAGAGTTGGCTGTGTTGTCACATCATTCAGAATTTTCCTTGCATTGCATTTTTATGGTATAGGTAATATTTTTGTCTGTATTTTCACTAGATACAGCCAAGACAGTGCACAAAGAGATGTTTACTCAACTAATCAATTCCTAAAAAAAAAAAAATAAAATTGAGACATTATATGTTAACGGCTTCCTGACTGAGGACTTCAAAGAACTCCCTTAAACAGAAAAGAGGTTCTATTGACAGTAATAAAACGTTTTCCTGGTTTCCTAAAGTTAGGAGGCTCTCCTCCTTCATGGACGGAGAAAAAGGATAAGGGCAAGATGAGTCCTTAGTAACATCCTACAGTTATTATCAAATGCAACTCATAATGGCAAGTTCAGTCTGCATTTAACAAAGTTTGAGGCAAGTATTCCACATCACACGGAACAGCATTTTATGCATTCTGTCTGGTATTGCTTAAGCCAGGTCAGTTCTTGCTCTTTTCTGTTCTCTATAAAATGTCAAAGCACACTTCCCAGCCCTAAACTCTGGCAAGGAAAAATCCCGCAGGTTTTTCAGTTTTACTGACAGCACAAGACGTGAAGCACTGGGGAGGCGTGTATACTTCACATTGTCTGTCATGGCACTGAGACAAAATTTTTTTCTTTGAGTCACAGATTTTAAGCAATATGAAAAAGCTCTCCAGCAATACCCTCATCTTTCAAAGTTACTATAACCTCAAATTATGTTTACTATTTTAGTACTGTCAAGCTACCTGTGCCTTTTGGGCTGTAGTGCCAGTTACAAGCACACTATTTCCAAAAAACTTTCTTGCAGCAGGCAGAAGTTTAAGAGCTGTCTTAAGAGCTGCTGAAAAAGGGTAGGATCAAAATAACGATATGACTTCCAATAACTGCCTGGCACACAAACAGCCTTCTACTTAAAAGCACCCTCCTTAGTTTCACGAGCAGAAGAGCAGGGAATGGAAAAGAATGGGAAAAGGTCATATTCACAATCACGGCTTACAACAACATGTATCAGTAATGATAAAAGAAGACAAGGATAGAAGATCCATCACAGCCTGAAAGTAAACACCTTGTTATGGTCATCTATCTTTGTGGTAAGTTCTAGACAGGGAGACTGCTACTGCTGCTGCCTTGTTTTCAGACATATACAGACAAATATCTGTGGTACTAAGCTGCAGAGAAGCTCTGTTTTGCATGACAACCTCCCCTTCTTCTGCTCTTTCAATAGAGATGTGCATTTAATATTCCATTGGGCACATCATCAACAACTACAATATAGCAATAATCATTACTTAGTAATTTAGACTTCAATTCATTTAAGCACACAACTAAGGTCTACTGAGGTGGAACGGATCTATCTGAACACTTGGGCTGCATCACACGTACAAGATCATAAAGCTCCTAACAAAACATACCTGAAACCTCACAAACATGTAGCAAGTATGAAGTCATGCTCTCCAAACGACAGAGCAAGAACTGATGCAATAGACACGCTAACAATGTACCACTGCGTTATAAGTTCACTGAATTAGGGGGGGACATAGCTTATTTTGGGTATCACACTTGCCATCTTCCTACTTTCACTTCGATGCATTTCACTAATATTTGAAGTTTTATGATCAATGGTTGCGCTTTTCAGTTGTACGCAAGAAGCTTGTTAAACACAAACTTAACTTGCAGTGTTAAGTGTTCAGAAAAATTTAACGTAAACAAAGCTTTCAAGTACCTCATTGACTCATTCAGAAGACAAGGGCTGCCTATTAACCTTCTCTCATTAGCTCATTCTTCCTGGACAGGTCAAGAAAGCTGGGGGGTCCATCATGTACATTCTAGCAAACAGCTGCTTACATTGACAAGAACAACCTGGGGAGAAAATCCATCAACTCCAAACTAGTGAATTTAGAGTAATACAATGGGGTGTGGTTCCGGTTTTTGTTACCAGTACATAGTAATGGGAACAGAGACACAGCACAACCCTGAAGAGGAAGTCTGCAAAACAGCAAGAGCAGCCAGCTTTTCACTCTAGCTTTCTTCAAGAAAGCATGTGTCGATCTTAAAAATATGACCTAATTGCGCTTTCATATTTCCCACAAAATCTTAGAATCAACATAACTGGAAAGTACTTCAAAAGCGTATTACAACTTTAATTCTGAATATTTAAAGTGAGGCATATTAACAGCTTACACATGGAGAGAAACCATAGCTTGTAACCCAAACTTTTGGTTATAAAAAAAACAAAAACCAAACCAACCAGTAGCTATGACGCAGTACACTCAATACCTTATCTAAGTTCTTGTAACAATATCTTCTGGCGAAGACAGAAGCAATTATTTCAGACAAAAAAAGTTTTTCAGCTAGTCAAGTAGGGAAGTAACGGAAAATACTCAGGAAGTCCAAGTTATTAAAAAAGATAGTAATTTCAAGAAAAAAGAAAAAAATAGGTATTCAAGAAGTGCGCCCTCTCCCACAACAGTTTACCAGTTTTGGAAAATTTCCTGCAAAAAACTAATATTAATTTTTTCAGAAAACTTTATTTTAAAAAGACTTATTCTCACAGTGTATGGTCTTGAGGTATAGGTAGAGGACACAAGTTGACTTCAAAGTTCTAGATATCACAAACTGAATGTGAAACAAGACGACGTAATATATATTACATACTATCCGCTGGCAACACGCTTTGATAGGTAGAGATAAAGCGCCAGAGTATTATTCTACACAAAAACCCCACAATCCTATAAAGTCACCCTCAACCTAAAATTGCACAAAAAAATGTAACTAAAATGTAAGAAATGGAAATTCCTAGAAACTCAGGAGTGGTATTTCAGTGTACACAACCCCCAGTTCCTTCCACGGGGCTATGGGATAGCAGTGTAACAGTGTTTGGAAGTTCCTCATACAAAGATGCAAACAAGATACCAGTACTAAGTCATCTTCCCTCCTCTTGACCCCACACTTTCTTTCCGTATAGTTAACTTGGTTTAGCTACACTGTAACACAACAGAGTGACAGTGAATGTCCACAGGAGCGTGCTGTTCTCTGCATCATAATAAGCACAAATCTCCTTCCAAACTGTGAACCAAACTTCTGCATCTTCTTCCAGAATATGGGGGATTCCAAAACTACACTTGTAGGGTCAGCAGCACTTTAATAGAAAAAGCTTTTATCTATAAAGCTGCAAGGTCACATTAACAACTGTTAAATTTTCCCAAAAAGCTTCAGCCATAAGGAGCCAGAGCTAAAGGCCATCACCTTATGTGAGATAATGATTTGCAGGCATAGGCCACTCACTTAGAAGCAACACTTGAGATATTAACTCTTTCTTACAGACAGGCCCTCTAGGGATCTGAAATACCAGACCACAAATACATTCCTAATTGTTTAGAAAAAGACTCAAAACTTGAGTGACTAAATCAGAAATTTATTCCACAGTAAGGTATCCAATTTTAGTCAAGATCTGAAGCAAGAAGAATTTCCAGTGTACTCTAACTACAAACATCTAGATTCTCAGCATTTCTGAAACTTTCCTCAGTATAACAGATTTTTGATAAGTTATACAGCCTGGATACCAGCAGAATTAGACATCACACATTGGTGTCTCAGAGGCATTGCAAAACACTTTTATAACAAGCTCAAGGCCAGGTACACTTTCAAGGCAAAAGCTCGTCTCATTCTATACAGGGACAAAATCTTTTAGAGAAAAGTAAGCTGTCTTCAAGAGTGCTATTTCATGAACAGCTTGCTGCCATCAGCGGAGACGCAGGTTTCATTTTCTTCCATTTTAGTCCTCAAACTCTGTCCCTGACCTTCTCTTGCTTCAGCCTTCTCTAGAATTCAGCTCATTGTATGGCA